TGAGAGTAAAGAAGTGCAAGCCTCTGATGTCTGTACTTCAGCGGACTTGTGCTGAAATGTTTGATGTTGTCAGACATATAAGTGATGTCTTTCTCTCCCTCACTTACTACAACAACCAATGTATCTTTTAAGAAAGAATTTTCATTTATTTATTCACATTTTCTTGTAAGTATTACTGCCATTTGTCTGTCTACTGTAAAGTCAGGCCTAGTTACTATCAATCTGTTCCCTAATGCTTCCTTTTCCAGCATCTCATACAAAAACTTTGTGTTCTCTATTATGTCAGCAAGGCCTCCTCCCCTCTCTACCCCTCCCCTGCCTTCAAATAACTGCCTCCCATCCACTGATGTGCCATAAAATCCTAGAGATGCAGTAGTAATGATTTAAGTATTCAATCTATAGCCCAGCCTGTATTCATGAACCTCATCATGGTTGATTAGTCGGTGTATGCTACAGTTTGTGTTTGATAGTCCAGCTTCTATACAGCTGATAGGGTATCTGCAAGGCTGTGGAACAGGGCCTCAGTAAATGATTAACATAGAGTAGACTCCAATAGTGATGTGCTTGATTAGTAACCAATACAAAATTCACTCTTGTGGCTTGATGGTTCCCTTCGGACTGGACTAACCTTCCAACAGTGCTCAAAGATGAAAGGGTTCAAACAACAGTGAAACCCTCCCACAAGGTGCTAAATGTTGAAACAACAGTGAAACCCTCCCACAAGGTGCTAAATGTTGAAACAACAGTGAAACCCTCCCACAAGGCTCTTAATGTTGAAACAACAGTGAAACCCTCCCACAAGGTGCTAAATGTTGAAACAACAGTGAAACCCTCCCACAAGGTGCTTAATGTTGAAACAACAGTGAAACCCTCCCACAAGGTTCTACATGTTCAAACAACAGTGAAACCCTCCCACAAGGTTCTACATGTTCAAACAACTATGAGGCTGTGGGGTAGCCAAATGGTTAAAGAGTTCGCTCATCACACTGATGACCAGGGTTCAATTCCCCATATGGGTACAATGTGTGAAGCCCATTTCTGGTGTCCCCTGCCGTGATATTGCTGGAATATTGCTAAAAGCGGCATATAACCACTCACTCACCCACACAACTGTGAAACCCTGAACACAATGTTCAAACGACTGTGAATCCCTCCACTGGATGGCTCCCACAGGGCCACAGGAACCTTCATACAGACCTCATACACACACACACACATATATATATATATATATATATATATATATATATATATATATATATATATATATATATATATGTATATATATGTAGATAACAATCATGTAAGTCACAGCATCCATTAACAAGAAAGATAACTTTGTCTGCCAATGTGGAGCCAACAAAAGCTTATTTATTCTGACAGCCTTAAGATGTGCCCCGAAAATGATGAAGCATCTTGAGTGACTGAAGTAAACAGAAAATCCTGTGACTACATCACACCAACTGAAGTGGATGCATAATTGCAAACACTTCAATATCTATCATTTAACAACACGTTAAAGTGAACTTTATACCTGACTTTTCAATAGTGAACTTATATGCTCTATATTGCTTTATAGACAGCGATATACAGAAGATTTCTCTGAGCTGAAGTAAGATCTTTCTAAAGAAGTGAGTGAGTTTAATTTTACACCTCTTTTAGCAATATTCCAGCAATATCACGGCAGGGGACACCAGAAATGGGCTTCACAGATTGTGCCCATGTGGGGAATCGAACCCAGGTTTTCGGTGTGACAAGTGATTGCCTCAACCACTACCCCACCGACCCGACAGGGCAGAGGCCAAATTCCATATAGCATACTCCCTCAGATGGTCTTCCAGACCCAGGAGATTATATTTCAAGGGGAATATCCAAGTAACTCCCTGTTCCTGAAAAATAATGGAATGCCCTTTATCTTTAACGAATGGAGAGTTATGAGGACATTCTCCTATTTTTAAAAAAAATCCCTTTTTCAACACTTTGAGAAAACAGTTTTGAAAATTTGGGTATACTAAATATGGTTCCATGAACAAGGATATATGTGCTTACCTGATTTGTTTCTTGTCGAAGGTTGGTCTGATTGCTTTAAATAGGAACATTGTATTATGATGATTATGCACAGCTGAAAACATTTAAAAGTCAAGTTTCGTCATGTGTTGCTGTAGCACAGGTGGATAATAAGACATCCTCAAATCAATCAGTCACTCATTGAAATATGTTAAAAACATATGTTCCAAGTGTAAATCAATTGAAATGTTGTTTCAAGATGGCTTATAATTGACTTACAGCTGTCCATTTCGAAAAGTTGTGGGATATTTAAACAGTGGAAATTGTGTCACATAATCCAACAAAAGTCTAGATTACCTCAGTTCCTGTTCTATCATTAAGCATTTGGGGCTGCATTTGGATTATATTTTCTAATTTGCAGATGTATATCTTTAAATAAGATAGATGTATTTCTGGGACTGTATTGGTTGAGCATCACTATGACAACAGGAACTGGGACTGCTAAGTACCTTCACACATGGGACATGGTAATTCCTGATTATGTAAATCCTGCCTTGTTGACTTAAATATCAACACTGTAAATCAAAGCAGATTTTTTACGGCATATTTTCCAGGAGTAATGGGTCTGGCTTGTTGTTGATTTCATGGCCAGATGTTGAAGGGACTCTACATGTGTAACTGTTTTCAAAATGATCGATCACCAGAATCAATTTGTGATTTGTTTGTCTGGTGATCCCTGTTTGGTTCTGTTCCCCTGTTCGTCCAGGCAAGGGGAAATTAATGAATTAGGGTTATCAAACTCTCCTCAGCTTCTGGTGTAGCTAGGGACACTTGTGTCATACTTCATTAGGACTGGCACCAATTCCATCACTTGTGTGGCCAGCTCGGGACAGTCCAGTTATCCAGACAAGCTGAGGCCCAGTTGAGGACAAGATGAATTCATGTTCGTGTCATGGGGAGGATAAGTAGAGGATTTGGGCATAGACATATCCTCTGTCATTCCACACTTCCCCGGTTGGGTACATATGGTGCGGGGCTCCATCTTGGGGCCTCTACTGCATGATCTGGTGCCGATCTTTATAGTCAGCAGTACAAAGACCTCAGAATTAGGCTGTTCCTGCAGATGACATGGTGACATGGTGACAGTACAGAGGCTGGTGATGTTGCTGATGACAATACAGCTGTTCACTTTCTGTCTTGATTACATTATGATTGAAGGTCACCTGGATTCAGGATTGATCACATAACAGTTGGAGCTCTGCTGGTTTGATGACATCATGATGGGGCTCTTCTTGTTTGATGACATGACAGTTGGAGCTCTGCTGGCTTGATGACATGACAATTGGAGCTCTGCTGGCTTGATGACATGACAATTGGAGCTCTGCTGGCTTGTTGACATGACAGTTGCAGCTCTGCTGGCTGGATGACATGACAGTTGGAGCTGTACTGGCTTGATGACATGACAGTTGGAGCTCTGCTGGCCTGATGACATGACAGTTAGAGCTCTGCTGGCTTCATGAGATGACAATTGGAGCTCTACTGGCTTGATGACATGACAGTTGGAGCTCTACTGGCCTGATGACATGACAGTTGGAGCTCTGCTGACTTGATGACATGACAACTGGAGCTCTGCTGCCTTGATGACATGACAGTTGGAGCTCTACTGGCCTGATGACATGACAGTTGGAGCTCTGCTGACTTGATGACATGACAATTGGAGCTCTACTGGCTTGATGACATGCCAGTTGGAGCTCTACTGGCTTGATGACATGACAGTTGGAGCTCTACTGGCTTGATGACATGACGGTTTGAGCTCTGCTGGCTTGATGACATGACAGTTGGAGCTCTGCTGGCCTGATGACATGACAATTGGAGCTCTGCTGGCTTGATGACATGACAGTTGGAGCTCTGCTTGCTTGATGACATGACAATTGGAGCTCTACTGGCTTGATGACATGACAGTTGGAGCTCTACTGGCTTGATGACATGACAGTTGGAGCTCTACTGGCTTGATAACATGACAGTTGGAGCTCTACTGGCTTGATGACATGGCAGTTGGAGCTGTGCTGACTTGATGACATGGCAGTTGGAGCTGTGCTGACTTGATGACATGACAGTTGGAGCTATACTGGCTTGATGACATGACAATTGGAGCTCAGCTGGCTTGATGATATAACAGTTGGAGCTCTACTGGCTTGATGACATGACAATTGGAGCTCTGCTGGCCTGATGACATGACAATTGGAGCTCTGCTGGCCTGATGACATGACAACTGGAGCTCTGCTGGCTTGATGACATGACAGTTGGAGCTCTACTGGCTTGATGACATGACAGTTGGAGCTCTGCTGGCTTGATGACATGACAGTTGGAGCTCTGCTGGCTTGATGATATAACAGTTGGAGCTCTGCTGGCTTGATGATATAACAGTTGGAGCTCTACTGGCTTGATGAAATGGCAGTCGGAGCCCTTCTGGTTTGATGACATGACAGTTGGAGCTTTGCTGGCTTGATGACATGACAGTTGGAGCTCTGCTGGCTTCATGATATAACAGTTGGAGCTCTGTTGGCCTGATGACATGACAGTTGGAACTCTGTTGGCTTGATGACATGACAGTTGGAGCTCTACTCCAAGGCATTACAGCTAAGCTGCGCTGGTTCAGCCACCTGATCTGGGGTTACTTTGGTTTAGATTTTATGGTCTTATGTTTTAAGAAAATATCCAAATCCTAATGAATTGTATTCATCACACTAAAGGGGTGTATTTTTCATCATGTAATTGATTAATTTATTATAGAGGATCTGTTAAGACATGTTAATGTGTGTAATACTAAGGCTAGAATGAAGTTGACGTGACTATGGCCAAATGTAGACCAGTGTTAGTGTTGTCAATTCCTATTACTGTCCATTCCTAAAAATACCACCTTTGCTGGTACCAACCTGTACTGAAATGTTTAATCCTAATTGAGTTAATGGAACTTGGTTCTGTTATTTCAGGTTTCTATCAATCAGTGGAGTTTACTGAGGGGTGTTTACGACTACTAGGACCTGTGTTGACAGCTAGGTGTCACACTGACCAGCAAGGCTTTCAGGTATGTTTTCATATATCTGCTCACTGTTGACAAACATGACCCAGTGCTGGGGAACAATACATATGAGCACTGGGACAGGAGGGGAGTATGCCTTTGTTCTGGCATCACATGGGTAGTCATTATGTGAAGGATTCAGTGCCAAACTGATGAGCTTTTGTTAATGTTGTAGACAGATTGTTTGTACTTCTATCATACCATGACTACTGAACGGAGTTAAATGATACTTACTGTAGGATTGGCATTGTCTTTAACCTTTTTTTAACCTTTTATATTCATCATTATTCACATAATAGATAAATACTAACAGGTTTCTGTCCTCAAACAATAACAATAACCATTTATTATTCTGCATCTATATTAAATTCCAAATCTCTACTACTCTTTACTTATTTCATATTTTTCCTTACTTTTTTAATTCGCCTTCCATTTAAATTTCCATTAACACTCCGTTTCTATGTTTTTTTTGGGTAGTAACACCATTCTTTCAAAATTTCTAATTTTTGTTCCCCATCATTTCTTAATAAGTGTACTACCCTGTCGCCGAAATACCTTAGTTGTGCATGAGATGCTAAATAAAGTTAATAACTAACTAATCTAGAAGTTGGTGAGTCAATAATGAAGTATACAACTTGATGAAATACACAATGCCATTTAGAAAGTGGTCAAATGTAACATATGTTATATTTGGTATTACACTTTGTTAGTAAAGTACAGATTCTAGTACTTTTGTTGGGTTGAGTCCCATCTGGGATTCGGAACACACACCCTCCGAGTCAGGCACCTAATCGCCAGCACACAAAGTCAGACACCTAGACCGCTCAGCCACCGCTCAGCCTTGCGTGGAAGCCGTGGTGGCTGCGCGGTCTAGGCGACTGACTTTGTGAAAGAATCTACATCGAAACACTGCTCTATGCAATAAACAATAAGTTGTCATCCATGAAGTTGTATGCTTCATTTTTAAATTATGCTACTTGTTTTACAACAGACAGATGAAACATCATGTTCACTTTTGATTTTGAAATCATATTGTATTTCTATGTGTCAGACCTAATGGGTTGTGTAAAAAGGGATCAAAATATAAGCAAACAAGAAAATATATATCAAACTGGACATTGCAAGCTACAAAGACATTGTTTGTTATTAATTGTTTTCTGAATATTTTTTTTATTCTTTTATCGGGCAAATTGATACATGGAAGATACAGTGTTGTTGCTCCACATCTTTTACCACTTTCATCTCTGAGTGAAGGTTGCTGCTTGAAATAAAAGTTGTAAAACTTTTCCACAAATCACTGTCAGTGTAGTTAAAGCAAAGGCACTACTTCACTATACAAGAGAAAATGACTATCAATGAAAACAACAATAAAACAATTGTAGCAAATCCTGAAATATGTGACTGCTAATCACACTCATTTGAATCCAATATTGTGACAGTTAATGCAGTGATGGTGATCCCGTTGTAAATACTGCACACTGAAACATTCAAATTATTCATTCAACTAATCTGCCTCCTTCATTAATTTTAGAGCCAACACAAATTGATTTCTTTGTTAATTTTTCCAATTCACAAAATTTCTAAAGAGCATTTATTCTCAAATCCAATTTTTGTTCTTAGGTGTTTTGCTAGACACCATAATGGCTGGCACTTGATGTTTATTGTGAATATAACCAGCCACGTGTAGGACGGACAGCTTACTGTCGAGGAGACAGAACCACAGTCAGCTGGCTGTGGGACCTGTGTAATCAGGGAACAAACTGTGTGCAAGATTGGAAATTCACAGTTCAACATTGTGTCAGTTGCATAAAAATTCAAGTGGCATCAATTGCTTGTATTATGTTGACACATGTGCCTTTGTAGTGTAGACTTGTTGCTAGGAAATGTGATGGAAACCAGTTAAATATTCATTTGTATTTGTAAAAGTGTCTTGACTTTGCTTAACAGGGAAGTATTGAGTTGAATAGTGAGTGCATGGAACTACATTGTATGTTCAGCCTTTATAAATGTGTTGTCTTATCTACCAGGTACTGGGTTTGGTATGCTGGGTATCTGGGATGTAATAAATATGAAATCTTATCTACCAGGTACTGGGTTTAGTATGCTGGATATCTAGGATGTGATAAATGTGCATGGTTATCTACCAGGTACTGAGATTGGTGTATGCTGGGTATCTAGGATGTGATAAATGTGCATGGTTATCTACCAGGTACTGAGATTGGTGTATGCTGGGTATCTAGGATGTGATAAATGTGCATGGTTATCTACCAGGTACTGAGATTGGTGTATGCTGGGTATCTAGGATGTGATAAATGTGCATTGTTATCTACCAGGTACTGAGATTGGTGTATGCTGGGTATCTAGGATGTGATAAATGTGCATGGTTATCTACCAGGTACTGAGATTGGTATATGCTGGGTATCTAGGATGTGATAAATGTGCATGGTTATCTACCAGGTACTGAGATTGGTGTATGCTGGGTATCTAGGATGTGATAAATGTGCATGGTTATCTACCAGGTACTGAGATTGGTATATGCTGGGTATCTAGGATGTGATAAATGTGCATGGTTATCTACCAGGTACTGAGATTGGTGTATGCTGGGTATCTAGGATGTGATAAATGTGCATGGTTATCTACCAGGTACTGAGATTGGTATATGCTGGGTATCTAGGATGTGATAAATGTGCATGGTTATCTACCAGGTACTGAGATTGGTATATGCTGGGGATATCATGGTTAGGTATGAGATGGTATAAATGTGATGTGATAAATGGTTATCTACCAGGTACTGAGATTGGTATATGCTGGGTATCTAGGATGTGATAAATGTGCATGGTTATCTACCAGGTACTGAGATTGGTGTATGCTGGGTATCTAGGATGTGATAAATGTGCATTGTTATCTACCAGGTACTGAGATTGGTATATGCTGGGTATCTAGGATGTGATAAATGTGCATGGTTATCTACCAGGTACTGAGATTGGTGTATGCTGGGTATCTAGGATGTGATAAATGTGCATGGTTATCTACCAGGTACTGAGATTGGTATATGCTGGGTATCTAGGATGTGATAAATGTGCATTGTTATCTACCAGGTACTGAGATTGGTGTATGCTGGGTATCTAGGATGTGATAAATGTGCATGGTTATCTACCAGGTACTGAGATTGGTATATGCTGGGTATCTAGGATGTGATAAATGTGCATGGTTATCTACCAGGTACTGAGATTGGTATACTGAAGAAGTTGAAGCAATGGTGTGTGTTAACAAGCTACCCAGAGTGGAGGGTTTAACAGTTAAAGCATCTTTCTGCGTTGACGTGAATGGATTGGAAACTGGCTTTCAAAATGATTTCACAATGCCATTTAAAAAGTGGTCAAATGTAACATATGTTATATTTGTGATTACACTTTCTTAGTAAAGTACAGATTCTAGTACTTTTGTTGGGTTGAGTCCCATCTGGGATTCGAACCCACACCAAATCACCAGCACACAAAGTCAGCTGCCTAACCTGCTCAGCCACCACAACTTACACAAATTTAGCTTTCAAAATTTGATCATTATGCATTTTTAAAAAAACAGTTTAGCTATACTACATAAAATGTTTACTTTAGTTGTTCTCAACAGACACAAGTGTTTCATACAGGAAACATTGTGTCATACACAGCAAGAGACAAGTGTTAACAGATCATTGTAAGGAACAACATGACACACTCCAGTAGGTTAATGTAGTTCTGATTGACTGGAGAAGTAAGTACCATGATATTGTGTGCACACATATAATAACTATTGGGATATCTACATGGATATGTATATTTCCATTTGGATTCTAATAATTTAATGAATTATGATAGTCATATTCTATTTACTATATATCATGGTGATTAATAGATCCTACTTGTAGTGTGGCACAGGTGATTGTGCATCAATGCTGGCTATTTCCACGTCCTCAGTTTTTCACCAATACTGGACAATGAGCAGCCGCCGTTTTGTATGTTAACTGTTTATCAGCTCCCATTGCCACAGTTAATAAATGTGATCTACAATCATAAAACTATTTTCAAAGAAATGTGAGATATCAATTTATTTCCTCCCTTTGTTGTGTGTTCAGTACAGCAGCTTTATGCATTATCAGCTCAGCTCTGGTGCCTATTATGCTGAGAGTTGGAGGCACCAAGCGGCGCCAACAGAATGGTTTTCATAGTTTGCTGTGACGAGGACGTTTTGTCGTTAAGGGAGCAATCAATGGTTTTGAATCTAATCTCACATTTATTTCAATTCAATAATCTGTGTTGGGTTATAAAGTTTTTGCACCAGTGTATCAATGGAGGAATTACATGCAATGAAAATATCGGCACTGATTATGTTTCGTTGATTTCCAATAAAAATCTGAAAGCGACATTTACCATGTTCTGTGTAGGGCCAAAGGCTATGAGTGGATCTAAAACTTGTACGAACACTTCCTTTGCGATTCCTCGATAAATCACTAGCCGGTGGCTCTCTGCCTGTGCGTAGGATGCTCCTGATGTGAAATTGCAACAATTAATGCGAGGTATAAATTGATATGGAGTACTTAGCTTGGAGACAAGATTTTATCATATTCTTTGAACTTGCAAGTCAAAAAATATTTCCGTAATAGTTGACATTTTTTGGTCAGGTTAATACCTGCAGGTTGTTATCGTGTTAATTACCAGAGTGGTCTGAATGTTGAAGAGGTGTGCTGGTGTGGAGGCTGCAGTTGTTGTAGTCTGTCATTACTGATGCTGCTGCTACATCAAGGAGATCCTCGTTACACAGCACCACAGCAGAGAGGGATGGAGTAATGGAGCCTCGATTAAGAAAGTGGAATTGAATCTGTCATCAGAAACTCAATGAGTATACTCAGACTGTAATATGACCTGCAAATGTAATCCTTGCATTAACTGATGGTTCAGCTATGTATTCCACTCTGGTCAGTGTATAAACTGCTAGTACTGCTATGTATTCTACTCTGGTCAGTGTAT